ATTCACAACTATTAGTTACTATTGTAATATAAAATATTTTATCAAATATTCCTAGTTAAGCACTTAGTAATTAAATTGTAAAATTAACCAAATTGTGAACTGCTGACTGCCGAGTGCTGATAAGTGCTGAGGTTTTGAATGACGATTGATATTTTATATAAATAATATAATTTATAAATTAAAAATAAAAATATTCTTATTTAACGACTTGCAGCATTCAAAGCCGTCGTCATTACCCGCAACCCGCCGGCCCATCTGATCGACGACAACTCGAATAACCAATTATTTTACTGTCCACGGAGGTTGATTTTTTGTATAGTTATTGTTATTTCTAATATTTCTTATTGATAATTAATATTATTATTCAGTTCGGTTGTAGACATTATATTATTACAATTTATAACGCTTTACGTTATAATATTATAGACTGTTATTACGTAATATCACTAATATCATTGATTATAGAATGAATAATTTAAAATCAACGGTAATATTTATTAGGTTATATTTAAGTCTACTTTTCCGCTATTTACTTAGTACGCGGTCCATCGGGGATTTCCCGATTTCCCTATGGCCCAATCCGTCCCTGTAATATTATACATGAATATTTATCCTAATATTAATGCACGCATTGTCTCATTGTAGCCGTGCTCTCTATTAGGACGAATTATTTTTGTAAATATTAATGGCCACCTCTTATTATGTCTAATTGTCTACTGAAAATAATCAACTAATAACCGTAAATGTATTATAAAAACGGGCCCAGCCCGTATAATAAATAAATAAATATATAGTTTATATATCTAGGTACTATTTCATATCACACATAGTTCATGTTTTAAATTAATACGCTTGCCCATGATTGTCATAATAGTATTATTTAACCGTGATATACGTATCATAATTCACTAATAGGTAATTAAAAACTTCAAAACTTTTATTCAGTTATTGTGTTACCCACGAACCTACTGACAACCGTCTTGCTGTAATAAAAAAAATAATAAAAAAGTGTACTTCTTGTACAGTGTTTTGACATCGTTCGAAACGATCTACGTTGTCATATTACAATATATGATTTTATATCTAGTGAGATCTGATTATCCGACTATATATCTGAGAAGTGGGTGGCGGGTGCCTATTATCACTGTAATCACTACACCGCGACTCCGGAGTCTCTGGTTACTGTTTTTTAAATTTAAATCGCTGGACTGCTGGAGTTTGTGTGTTGACCTTCAATATTTTGCAAACCACGCAATTATAGTACACTTGTTTTTTTATTATTTACGAAAATTTAACTCGGTGTGCTGCCCATTTCTACTGCGATTAAGTACGTATCAACTAACAACCATTTCAGTGACCGTCATCCTGTAATTGGTAAATTAATAAGTAATTTTTATATTTTAAAAACATTTTTTTTTTATTGTTAATATATTATTACGATGTGTCTATACTAATTTAGTTAAAAATTTAACACGTTTAGAAAATGGTGTTGTGCAGAAAATTGCTGTACAGACCTTTTTACAGTTGTTGTATTCGACAACTTTCTTCCGAAGCATTCAAAAACATACCAAAGAATGAATCTTCTCTAGCACCTATTTATAGGTAGGTAGATATGATATTATTGCACCTAGTGCACAGAATAGGTTAAACCTATTTATTCTATACTGTTCCTAGTGCACATACTGTTATAACTAAGAACATTATACAGTTTGATTGTAAAACTTTAAAATGTTGAATATATTATCAGGTTGCACAATAGTTGATCAAGATTTAGACATGCTGTACAGTTGTACATACATTAAAACATTAAATGATTGAACTATAAAAAAAAATGGTTAACATTATAGTGTAATGATTGATGAATAATTCATTACAAAAATACCTTCTTATCAATACATCAATTAATATTAAAAAAAAAATTATTGTTAGTCATTCCCAAACATTTCTTAACCTTTCCCAGCTCCCAGCATGAATCGTCCAATTTTTAGGTTATTTATATATTTTTTTGTTATAAATTTTAAGAGGTCAAATAGCTATACTATTGGTTATGGTTAGGTTATTTTAAATTGTTCTTAGTATAATCATGATTAGTTGTTCCCTACAGGTTGGCTGCACAATGGCCGAACAACGTTGCAGTTGTAGACAAATCCGGAGAACACACTTATTCCTCCATATTCAACAGCAGTGTCACATTGTCAAAAATAATAGAAAAATCTTTACATGGAGAAATTCAAGAACGCGTTGCAATCTTGTGTCCAAACGATGCATTTTATGTAGTTGCCCAATGGGCTTCATGGATGAGTGGACAAATAAGTAATACATTATTTAACTAATGTTTATTTTGGTTTTTAAAGTAATTTTATTTAAATTTTATTTTTGTTTGTAGTTGTACCTTTAAGTCCACTTCACCCAGCTGCTATGTTAGAATATTTCATAAACGATAGTGATGCTAAAGTCATATTAACTACTGCTCAGTTTGAGGATATTGTACGTCCTTTAGCTGAAAAATTTAATCAAAAGTATCTTTTACTTGAAGACCATATTACTTTGGATTTTAAACCACTTGGTAAAACATCATTTGAAGATAATGATAAAGTAGAATTATTAAATACTGACAATAATTTAAGCGATGAGCAGTTCTTTGAGTCAAATGCAATGATAATTTACACATCTGGATCAACCGGTTCCCCTAAAGGTAATTAAATATTATATTGTCATTATAGTTCTTGTATCATTGGTTCCCTTATAAATAGTATGAAATATATATAATACACAGTACTGAAATATGTATGAGTTAAAATAAAAAAATCAATTTACTTAAACTTATATAATGGAAAATAATAGCAATCTCAAACTTTTAATAATAATAATAATAATATAATAATATGAACGGCTTGTATTAATATATATTACTAAAAAACTCTTTGCGCCATATATTACATGTCAACTTTTTTTTAAATATAATACATTGTATATTTGTATTTTGTACTATTTTAGGTGTTTTGTTGACACATCATAATTTAAATTCACAGATCAACTGTTTGAAAACTGCTTGGAATTGGACTAATAAAGATGTTATTCTCCACGCTCTACCTTTGAATCACATCCATGGTATTGTGAATGCACTTATGTGTCCACTACACTCAGGCGCAAGGTACTAATGTACAAAAATGTACACACATTTCTGAAACTGCTTTATAATATTTGTTTATTAGAATTTTCATTTGAGTGAATGTTTTTCAGATGTGTTATGCTACCAAAGTTTAATGCTACTGATGTGTGGACATGGCTCTTAGCTATAGAACAATACTATGGATACAGAGTAAATATGTTTATGGGTGTACCAACTATGTATGTAAAACTTATCGAAAATTATGAAAAAATGTTTGAAAAAAATGATAGAATGGTAGAATATGTTAAAGCTGTTTGTTCTCAAAAAATCAGGCAAGTCTATATTTTGTAATCAATGTTAAATTTATTTTTTAACAAATATAAAATTATGTTTTAGATTAATGGTTAGTGGCTCTGCACCATTACCCAGTACACTGTTTAGCCGTTGGGAACAGATTACTGGTCATAAATTACTAGAACGATATGGTATGAGTGAAATTGGAATGGCTCTTTCTAATCCTCTAAATGGTGAAAGAAAACCGGGTAAATATTATTACAAATTATAAAGTAAGCTTTAATATTTTATCTATAATATCATAATTGTTGAGGTGTAATAGTATATTAACTACAAGCTAATAAAAAAAACTATAATATCGAACTTGTGATATAAGATTTTATAATTTACTACGATTTTTTAACATGCACAAAAACAAGTTAAATACATTTTGTACTTTTCCCGTCTAAAAAAAAAAACACGGAGTTTGAAAGACCTATTACTGATCTTTGCACTATAAAATGATATGAATGTCCGGTTGCAATGTATTAATTTAACGGCCCAATAAAATTTAATGGTCCAATCATGGGCTGCTAAACCTTGCTTAAAGGACCAGTAGCTCACTATTGATTCGTTAAATGTTTAATGATTGTTCGTGCGACCCAGTATTGTACTCTTACTTTTTCTACAACTATCCATACATTTATAACTTCAAATAATATGTAGAATATAATGAGCAATTGCTATTAAGTACCTTGGACTAAATTAATACAATTAGGCGCCGCAATCATACACATACTGAACTATATTATATTATTATGCATTGTGAATATGAAAAGATATTTTTTTTTAAATGTGTTACTTGTTATCTTAGGTTTTGTTGGTCAACCTTTACCGGGTGTAAATGTCCGAATTGTTAAGGACGGCATTATATTACTGGAAGGGGACAGTGAAAACACAAAAATTATGGATTCAGAAAAGCATGATAGCAACGAAGGTTATAGCGGGGATTTGCAAATAAAAGGGAATAATGTGTTTAAGGAATATTGGCGGAAACCTGAATCAACAAAAAAAGAATTTACTGAAGACGGATGGTTTAAAACTGGTAAGTTCTAACATAAATGCTTCCTGTGTATTCTACTAATTAATGATCTTGTTTTTAGGCGACTCCGTGACCTATGTTGATGATAGTTTTAAAATATTAGGCCGAACATCAATAGATATAATCAAAACCGGAGGTTATAAAGTTAGTGCTTTGTTTGTTGAAACTGTTATGTTACAAAACAAAAGTATCAAAGATATTGCTGTGGTTGGATTACCAGATAGTACATGGGGACAGCGAATAGGTGCTTTGATTGTAATTGATGAACAACATACTAATGTCGAACATAAAAAATTTAAAAAGGATTTAAAAAGTTGGGCTGAAACTGTATTACCACCATATAGTATACCAACTGTAATTAACATTGTTGAAGAAGTACCTAGGAATGCTATGGGTAAGGTGGATAAAAAATCGCTACTAAAAAATTCTTTTTCAAAGTACTTGGAAACTTAACTGAACTATTTTTATTAAGACTATTATAATCAATAACATTATTATTAGGTTATTTGTTTTGTTATTAACATATAATTAATATTATATATTTTAATATTTTATATTATATGAGTTGTGGATATTTTATGTGTTGTTTATAAGAATATTGATACTTACAACCACTATAATATAACACATATTTAATCATTTTTATCATTTACATTTTTCTGATTAAATTAAGTTCAAATCATTAATACTTCTCGATTTTAAAGCATGGCTGAAAATTTTTTTATTCATTCTGTTCTTCAATAACTATAAGTAATTCTGGTTTGAAATTTGAATTCTTTCTCAGATATATAATTATAATATTTGAAACCCAAACAAAATTAAAATAATACAGATATATGTGAGTATTCAACACTATTTCTCATAAGGCGCTAAGCTTGAAATGTGTACTATTTAGTTTTATATTGAAAAATTGTATTTTTTTTATTAAGCCGATAGTAGTTAGCCAACATTTTATTGAAGATCTGAAAATTATATACTTTATATTATATTTGAACTATAAAGACTTAAGTATATTTATACAAAAAATAAATTAACAAATAGATTGATGTTAAGTGATTAAAAATCACATTCTAATAATTTATTACACAAAATTAAACAAATGATAAAAATATAATTTGTTTTCACATAAATACTAGCCTTCTAAATAAACAATTTAATAAATAATAACAAAATTAGACTGAATTAATCCCGTATGGTTTATAACCAATAAGATTTGATAAAGTTGATGAGACCATTGGTTGACGAGTCATGGCTTGTAATCTTGTTTGGAGTTTTAAGTTCGGGTTCAATTTTTTTGGCCAACTGTTTGCCCAATTCAACACTAAAAAGAAACCATTAACAAATTTAGGCTAAATTTAATAAAATTATGATTAATTAAATAAACCTACCCCCATTGATCAAATGAGTTGATGTCCCAAATAATACCTTGGACAAATATTTTTTGTTCGTACAATGCTATAATAAATGTATAGAAAACATAATTAAATAACCTGTTAAAAATATCTATGTATATATATTATATGTCATAAAATTGTATTCACCGATCAATAATCCCAATGTGAATGGAGTAATTTGCTTAAATACAATTGAGTTGGTTGGACGATTTCCAGAAAATGTTTTATGTGCTACTAGCTTTTCAAGTTCAGCACAGTCTAAATTCGACCCTTCAAGCTCTTTACGCGCTTCATCTGGAGTTTTACCCTTCATGAGTGCTTCAGTCTGAGCCAAAAAGTTGGCCATCAAAATCTGTAAATAAATAATAAGTTTAATTTTGATTTCAAATTTCAATTGAACTTAATTACTATGAACTTAAGCTACCTGGTGATGAATTCCTTCACTAATACAGCTGTGAGTGACAGCAGGAGCAATGAAATCCGCAGGTATGAGACGAGTACCTTGATGAATTAGTTGGTAAAATGCATGTTGACCGTTTGTACCAGGTTCACCCCAGACAATGGGCCCAGTAGAATATGATGAAATTGGAGTACCATTTAAGGTAACTGATTTTCCGTTAGATTCCATGTCACCTTGTTGGAAGTATGCAGCAAACCTATGTAAGTACTGATCGTAAGGAAGAAGTGCATGTGTTTCAGCACCGTGGAAGTTATGATACCAGATTCCCAATAAAGCCAAAATAACAGGTGCCTGAAAGCAAAAAAAAAAAATGATGATCAGTTAACTGAAAGCAATAATATTAAAAAAAAAACTAACATTTTTCTCCAATGGAGCATTGACAAAATGTTGATCCATGAAATGTGCACCGCTCAATAAAGATTCAAAATTTTCAAAACCAATAGATAAGCATATTGAAAGACCAATGGCCGACCAAAGTGAGTAACGTCCACCAACCCAGTCCCAAAAACCAAACATATTGCATTCATCGATTCCAAATTCGGTTACCTTCTCTTTATTAGTAGAGAGTGCAACAAAATGTTTAGCAACACTGGATTCCTACATAAAGTTATAGATTAAAATTGGTAAATTAATGGTAAAATAACAAAAATGTATATATTGTTTTACATCTTTAGCAGTTTCCAAAAACCATTTCTTAGCAGATGTTGCATTTGTTATTGTTTCTTGAGTAGTAAATGTTTTGCTAGCAATTATAAACAACACCGTATCTGGTTTAACCAGCTTTAATACTTCTTTTAAATGTGTTCCATCAATATTAGATACAAAATGAACACGGGGACCTATAGCATAAGGTTTTAATGCTTCTGTCACCATTAATGGGCCCTGGAAAAATATAAATTAATAAATCAATTACATTTTTTACAATCTACTTAATTATTTAATATACGCTAAAAATATATTAATTAATTGACATTGCAAATATTTAAAGGTGAAACAATTATTCTTCTGTAAATTAGAACCAATTATGATAAGAAAGATAAGATAATATCAGAGTTTGTATAGTTTAAACAATACAATACAATATTTTAGCATTGAGTCAATTATCTGAATACTGAATAGTAAAGTCAACTGGTTGTCTGTAACCTTGAAAAAGTTGAAGCTCAAATCACGTGATATAAGATAAAAACGCTTAGATTGCCATACTATTGTTAGTCTGGGTGAATATTGAATAATAATGGGTAATAATTATAACAATAACTAAACAAAAACAAAATATTAAGTCATTATGACTATTGAAATTGAAATTAAAATGTAACAAAAATAAAAATAAAATATGGATAGGTACTAGACACAAATACAGCTCAGACATCATATCTAATGTAGTTCTTTGTGTAATTTCTCAACTTATTGTATACAGAATTAGTTGCAAATAGAGAAATCTGTATTTTTTTCTTAACATCCTATTTTTTCTTTACATTTTAAAACTTAAAGTAAGTTTACTAAATAGCTCAAATCTATAATGGTTATAAGTTTTTAACTTATACAAAAAAACTTACCAAATCTGATCCTCCAATACCAATATTGACTACATCTTCAATAGGTTTTCCTGTGTATCCTACCCATTTCTTTGATATTACCTTTACAATAAAAAAATGTGTTGTAAATTTTCAAAATATTTATGGTAACAAGAATTACTTGTTCAGTGAATTCTTTCATGTGCTTTAAAACACTGTTAACTTCTGGCATTACATCTTGACCATCAACTACTATTGGCTTATTAGACCGATTACGTAAGGCTACATGCAACACAGGTCGTTTTTCTGTTACATTGATTCGCTCACCACCAAACAAAGCTGATCTAGCTTCTTCAACTTTACGAGATTTTGCCTAAATCAATTAAAATTAAAATTAATTATTTAATATAAAAGAAAACATTAAAAGTAATGGATTTCTTACTAAGACAAAAACATGATTTAACTTTAAACAATATTTTTATTTACATAAATGTATTTTTATTACTCTTGGAAGTTTTTTTGATTTTACAAATAATTTTGTACTTAAAGTTCTTGCCACGAAAAGTGGCCCCAGACTCACAAACCTAGCAGCTATTTCGAGACAGTGGTTTTCCTAATGTACAAGTCCAGCAGCAATAACCGGTTTAGTTTGAAAACCCACGGCTAACAGGCTGGGTATGTCTCGTTGATCGCTGTGGTCAGGAGCCAATTTACGTGGCTAGGACTATAGTAAATATTTAAATATTATAGGATACTTACTATGTATGATTGTTTTTCTACAAAGCTAAGTTAGTAAAACAGTAAAACATGTTAAGCCCATCTGTATATATTTTTAAATTCCAATAATTTACTTTCATGTTGAATTAATATTCATTACATATTTTAATAATCAAATAAGCTTTCACAAACTAATTTCAAGGGCATTCATTTTTCTTTTTTTTAAAGGTCAGTGAATAATAAAAAAAAAATGTTCTTACCAAATCAAACAATAAACCTAAAGTTTTTTCATCCACACGATTTTTTGAATAATCAAGTAACACGTCACCATCATTTGGGGTGGTTAATCGTAAGCTAAAATATAAAAAAAAGAATGTATAAATTAATCATTAAAATTAATAAATAAGCTATCCATCAAATTACTATGATTTTATTAATAAATGTAATATTATTTTTCTTAATCAAAATACCTCTTTTAAATGAATTTAATTTTAATTTACATAGCTAGGTTTAATAATTTATTAAATTATGAAATACCATATGTTGAACCAATATTAGAACGCAAGGTTATAAGACCTAGGAAAAAATCATTTTTCACGATCAAAGAATAACCTTGAAAAAAGTGACCATTGACCATAGCCCATAGGCCATATTGTTCCTTTCTTTACATTATCCTTGATAAACACAATTCACTTTTCATATTTATATAGGTATCATAAAGATATTATATCTAGGTACTTAAATTTAGTTTTGTTTGAGGGTCAATGTTTAAAACATGGTTTTATGGTTTACATCCACGGTTTTACTGTTATGCAGAAAATAAATACCTAGGTAGCAATAACACAATGCACAAAATAGGTATAGTTAAAAAAGTATACATTACAATAAATTTTACTTATAATCAAACCAGTCTATAGACTTTAAACTGTCTAATATGTAAGTTATTAGGTAACGAATAGGACCTATTTTTAAATATTATGATAACTATTAATTCAGTACAAATTATTTTGGTATATAATTAGTATGAAAATTCAAAATCCACCTAAGAAATCTAGAATAGAGGATATTCCCGAGATTATCTGACCGTAGATAAGAAGTACGAGAAAAAAGTGCAGAAGGCATACCCATGAGTAGCTTCACAAAGTGTAATTATTTGTACACAAAACGATTACAACTTGCTGGAAAATTCAAAATACCCGTCTCATGAAACAGTACATCAATGACACATTAAGGGGAGGGGGAGCTTAAGGTGATCATAGTACCATCGAACAGGTTTTTTTTTAATTGGTTATTATAATTTAAACATGAGTACCAATAACGGTATTATTTTATTTCCATATTTCTTAACATTAAAAAGTACCCCCCTGTCATTGGAATACTCTGAGGAAAAGCCAGATGCTGATCGAAGCACAGTCGCAGACTAATCCAAAAAACGCAAAACGCAAAACCTATATCGTGCTAGATCAGACGGGATGAATGATAATTCGAAGATGATTTTAGTGGTAGGTACAATCGCAGCTCACCTGAACTTGTCAAAACGGTCGCTGGAACTGGCGAACAGATTTTTCATGTTCAACGACGAACCGGCAGACGCGTAGTGTTCGGCCAGGGCCTTGTACGCCGCGTCGGCGGAGAGTAGCACTTTTCCGGACATTTTTCAGTCGGAGGTTCGTTCGGGGGTGGTCGGCGTTGGCGAGTGTGAAGACGGTGCTCGACGGCGCTGGTTACGAGGGGACGTCAAACGTTCCTGTCGGACGGCGTTGCGCAAAGTGAATGGAGCAGACCGAGCTCCGACGGTTTTGTAGACGACGTGTCGGGATTATTATTATTTATTATTATTATTATTATTTTTTTTATTATCTAATGGTCGTGATCGTGAAGGAGAACTCGATTTTCTCGTATTCGCTAATCACTCTACGCAGCTCACAGCGTTCCGGCGAAGGTACAGGCTCTGTGGTACTGGTACACCGAAATAAAGCTTCGGCCGGAGGGGTGGAGAGGGGGAAGGTCGACCGGCACGCCGTCGCAGCCGGACTATCGCGCGAGCGCGCTATCGATAGAGCGACATGGGTGGGAAACCAGTCTGTCACGATTCGCCAATACGGTTGAGAAAATCGTGAAAAACTCGCGCAACATAGTACGTGTGTGCGAGTGGTGTACGTAATTTTGTTATTTTAAATTTGTCCACCTCTCTCTCGCACACTGCAAATCGCTCCCTCTCGTCCGACGAATAATAATAATAATAATAATATTTCAATAACTCCTCGGAAAAAAAATTACACCATACAAACTGTTGTGAGCCGAACGCGGAAATAGATTTTCGGCTAAAATCTCACGGCGCGTCGTTAATCGTTTGACGAAAAAAATAATACACGGAATCGCTGCCGATGTCTCGTATCGTCTTATCATAAGTTTTTTTTCGTTTCCAAGACGAACAATAGTAGACCATAGTAAACTATAATAATAATAATTACATATATATTATATATAGTAGTAGTGGTCGCAGTAGTGGTGTTTCCTTTTGGCTCTATCCGAAAACGGGCAATCAATTTTTTTTCCGGACAACACAATTATTAAAATATTCTGATTTTCGAAAATCAAAAATCACACGCACACACCCACACACCAACAACAACACTCATACACATGCACGGTACAAATAATACATCATATTCATATGCACGCATGTGTGTTATTATTACTGTTTTGTTTTTTTCATTTTAAAAATGATAAACGTCCGAATGGCGTATTAAGTTTCACGGGGCCGCCGTCGTAAACACGTCGTCCCGGAGGCCGGAACAGTCGTGACCGGACCGCACGCGCCAGTCGACGTTCACGTCGGATTTATCGTACCACCGGTAAGTAAGTATATCTGGCCACAAAATGGCCGTTTTAGGTGGCCACCGGCCCGTCGTCCGTGCGTGGACACATGCGATGCCCCTCGCGTCCACCCTTGCGCCGTGGCCACCACCACTCGTGGACCACACGCGCTTTTACTATCCCCGCCCCGTCATCAGCCAGCCGCGTCCGCCCCGTGGAAACTTTCGAACCTCACCCCCCGCCCCCCCGCCCCTCCACCCACTTTGTTGTCGGACTTTTTAGAATGATACTTTCAACATAATATCATTAATTACCTGTATCCATTTGCCAATCGCCCTTCCCCCCTGCCAGAACTCGTCATTTTGACTGGGGCACTGAGGGTTGGCTGCAGCAGCAATCGTCCTCATCCTGGTTTTGTATTTGTCGCATAATATTATAATTTATAATATTATGTATTTATAATTTATATCCGTCATATTTCGTCAGTTAAGTTTCTCAGTTCCCTAGACCACCATGGAATTGTTTGTGCAGTATTCTGTCCATAGCCTAGAGCAGTTTTTAAACTACGTGCAAACTGTTGCAGGTGGTTGTATTTTGAAAGCTTTATTTAAAACTATGTGGTGGCATATAGCTCAAAAATATTTTGTTTCAGAATATATTTCTTGAAAGAGATATAGGTTGTATACTGTTATAACTTACATGTAACTATTGGAGGAAATCCTTCCCTATTTCGGTAAATTTTATTGTTTATTTAATTTATAGAAGTGTTTTAAACCTCAATTTAACAGGACATTATTGGGCGGGGTTGCATACGTTTTAATGAAAACAAATCATTACAATTTGAAAGCAACAAGATAATAACTTTGGACCATTTAGATACACCCACATTAAATATGTTACTTAATAAAAATTATTTATAAATATGGTTAATAGTGTGAACATTTGGGTTTAAGGTGATTGATATTCAGAAAATAAGAATTGTCCTCTTCAGGCGCAATGAATCCTGCTGTTAATATTTCTAGGTATTTGAATCATGTTTATGTAAAAGTATATTTTCAGTTTTCTTTATTACCTATCACTTTATATCTTATAACTATTATTATTATTTCTTCACTTGCATCTTTACATTTTTAATAAGAAAAACTTATTAAGCACATGCTTTTTTTTGTTCTTATATCTTCATTATTTGAATTTGTCAACTTTCGGCTTTGATACAAATTGTGAGGGTCATATGAAGTACTTATTTGCTTAAATTCTTACATAACTAAAATATGCATGCATTATGTTAGAAAAATAAAGAAAATTTAGTACTTAGTTATAATTAATATTTACCAACAGCTTATATCTAATTAGTTTTAATTTCATATTAAATTTATAACATAAACTTCTTAATTTATGTTAGGTTGACACATTTAAAATCTTTCAAGCTTCTTAATACAAGATATTAGTAAAAACTAAAAAGTATTTTTTTTTTTTACTTCAAATGGCTTTCAGAGTATTTCTTTAAATATTTCATGTATATTACTAAAACATAGCACAACATTATAAAATTAACTTTTGTAATCTTTAATTTCTATTAAATTTTGGTTGCTTCATTTAATGTAGATACATTTCTAGAACTATACCTAATATGAAATTGTACTTTTTTATAGTGTGCGATACAGCATTAGTGATGAATTAAATGGATCCCCAGATAGGTTGGCTGCAACCAGAACAAGTAGGTCCCGCTCAAGAATTTTGGTCCAGAATTTTGGACTCCTCTGAAGATACAGACAGTAACGACGATAAGTATAGCACTGAAACTGTTCAAGAGGAAGAAGACGAGGACGAATATACGTTACCGTTGGATTGGAAGTTTGATTTCTCTATAGACGATCAAGAAATCAAGACTAGTAATCTATATGAGCACGGCTTGTTCACAAATATAGCCAGTACATACGACATGAACAAAATGCAAGCTCATTACATTGGCAAATTTGGTGGGTGTCCATGGAGACATGGAAAAAGTTATGACCGCCAACCAATTTGCACGTATGTTTGAAATTAAATTAAATAAAAAAAATTAACTAATCATTATTTTAATAATTTAGCCTCCATAAAGAGATAGAAGACTTTTTTGCATATATGTCAGCCACACCAGAAGAGCATAGCATGCGGCTCGATGTACTGGAACGTGTTACTAATGTTATACATGCTGAATGGCCTAAAGCTAAAGTTGAAGTATTTGGTAGTTTTCGAACCGGACTTTATTTGCCCACTAGGTAAAGTATCCCTTAAATATCCTATTTTAAGATTTAATCTTATTTAAACTTATTGAAACCATGAAACTGTTAATATATTTGCAATTTACTATTGTTTACACTTTAGTGATATGGATCTGGTAGTAATAGGTGAATGGGATACATTACCATTGCATTCACTTGCTCAAGCTCTACTTAAAAATAATGTCTGTAATGAAAACATTCAGGTTCTTGACAAAGCATCGGTGAGTTATTTCTTATTTTCTATAGTGAATATCGTCTTATTATTATTGATCTAATACATTTTTTTAAGCGTTAGTGTTTTAAATGTTACATATTTTTCTTAGGTTCCAATCGTCAAAATGACTGATAAGGCTACTGATGTTAGGGTGGATATAAGTTTTAACATGAATAATGGTGTGAAGTCAGCTGAAATGATAAAACACTATATGGATGTTTTTCCAATGCTTCCCAAACTTGTGTTAGTGCTAAAACAATTTTTAGCCCAGAGGGACATGAATGAAGTGTTCTATGGAGGCATATCTTCTTATAGTTTGATCCTTATGGTCGTCAGTTTTTTGCAGGTACCAAAATTATAAAATATTTCCTTCATATTTTTAAAAAAGTATCACCTATGTTTATTCTGTATATAGTTACATCCTAGAGGAGATTTAAATTATCCCACTGCCAATCTAGGTGTATTGTTAATAGAGTTCTTTGAACTTTATGGCAAAAAATTTAACTATATGCATACAGCTATACGTGTGAAAGATGGTGGACTATACATATCTAAAGACGAAGTAATTGAACATGCTATATGGTTCCTACAGTATAAACATTAATTAATGTATTATTTGCAGGTCCAAAAAGACATGGCTGATGGTCATAGGCCAAGTATTTTGTGTATAGAGGATCCATTAACCCCTGGAAATGATATTGGTCGTGGTTCTTATGGTGCTCTTCAAGTAAAAAGTGTATTTGAATATGCATTTACCACATTAAAAGCTGCTCTCGACCCTCAAATTGTTTCACCTAGTTTTAGGTTTGTTTTTAATGTATTTTACTTTTATAAAATATAATGAAATGAGTCATTCATTTTCAACTATTAAAGACTACATTTGAATTAATTTATATTATTTTAATGTAAATTACAACACTTTTTTGTTACAGTATACTCGGACGGATAGTACGAGTTAATGACAAAGTTATACTTTACCGGCAGTGGGTTAGAGACACTTATGCCTTACAAAATACTCAAAGAGTGATAATTAATAATTACTTGACCACTAGTAATATTAGTAACAATGTTAGTGTGTCTACCACTACTAGTAGTAGAGCTTCTACAGTATCTTCTGGTTCTGGATCAGCTGAATCTGTAAGTGTCAATGTAAACTCATTTTGTTCTTGTGTTTCCTTTATAATTGATGTATAATTTATTTATTAGGACTCTGAGAGTAGTATAGAAAAATTAAGTGATGCTGGCGACCACAATGATCAGAATAGTAATTACCAACCCAGACGTAAAAATCCACATTATCATAGACATAATAGCTGGAATAATCAACAAAATTATCAAATGATTAACTCTGGTAATTATCAATGAAAAATATTTTCAATTGATTACAAATTAATGTTCAGTGATTTAAACAATTTTAGGTAATCACCCATCTACCCGAAATCAAAGAATAATATGCACTAGTCCAGCTAATAATTACCAACAACGTGGTTTCACAAACAACAATTACAATAATAGTTATAACCACCATCAAAATTACCGGCCTAATGCGGGCAATAAACACCAGTATACGGGAAATTACCAACCACACTTTGGTAATTTCATGTCAAGCAAACGCCAAAAACGAAAAAACCAAACCCAAGATGTAAGATAAAATACGCGCGTCCAATCTTAAAACTTAAAAAAAATAAACGAGACAAAGTAAATGATAACTTAAAATATAAAAAAAAAAAATAAATAAAATAAAAAAAAAAATAACAAAAATACCAAAAACGTAAAAAAAAACCATGAGGATCGTCCTTTTTCGACGATTTTTTTTTTCTTAAATCTAAAACAATCATATTTATTATATAGAAAAAAGTATATTTAACAAAGTTATATAAAATTAATAATTAGTTCTGAAAAATATTTTAAAATTAAATTCGAAAATTAAAATTGCGTTTGCTTTTTTTTTTGAAAAAAAAATTAATATAATTAAATAGAACTATACAGCGATTTTTTATGAAGCTGTCAATTTTTTTTTTTAAATATTCACATAATTTTTTTTTTTATTTATTCGTACATTTGAAAATGTCTAATGTTAGAAGACAAATTCATTCAACTCGGAAAACATCTTGTTGGTCCCGCGGTATACATATATTTATATAATTTTTTTTTCATATGTATATAATGAATACATTAAAATATATGTGCATAAAAGCATATGCTCCACTTATGTAGTTAAATCGTCACTGCCACAAAATGCATTGAAAAAAATAAAAGAACTGTGGCGTTAACATTTAAAATCGCGCGCGTCAAAGCCCACTGTGTTCCTAGTCATTTTTATAATTAAATTTTAATTTACATGTAAATTTGTAGTTGTAAAACAAATATTATTTAATATTTATTATAAGAGTGCAAATAAATTGAAAGTTATTTATGTACGGACACGCTGTCTTTCAAAAACTAATAAACGCATCAACGTGGAAACATGTTCATAGGAGCTTATTTTCGTCTATACTTAATGCTAATATTGAGTGCTATGTACAAGTTGTTTTGGTTTTTTTTCTCTTTCTTTTGTTAGCATTGTTTAGATATAAGCGTGAAGTATGAAAAGTTTACCGATTGTTACTAAGTTCATAAGTGTTACTTTACTACAATGCACTGCGTTGTTCTCACACCGTCATGAAAATTAATAATTTATATTTTACATATATATGTATGTGTATATTTTATTTTATACATATTCATATATATGTATATGCATGTGTATAAGGAAAAACACCAATAACATTGTTTATTTGGTAAAGTGTAAATAGATGTTAGATTATGATTTATGACGCACAGGTATCCACAACGCTGTGTATGAGTAGTAAGCAACTATAGTTACTATGGAGACTGTTATCTATGTCGCCAGATTATGTAAAAATGTATATTTTTTTTTGAAAGGTATAAATAATACGTTTTGTTTTATTACTTTTTTTCTTTTTTTTTTTTGTAATAAACATCTTTAGGCCAAAATGTGTGCCCTTAATAAATTTAAAACTATTCCCAAATTCATTTCCAACTATTACTTGTAATATTTCCTATTCCTTAGGTGCCTTACATTTTGTTCTTATAAATCGACTTTTAAGCAATTAATAATTTTTAATGTCATGAACTGTTCTATAATGTATAATAGGGCAATCGAGAAAGTCTTAATTTATCATACAAAAATATAAATATATCAAGTAAAATAAAATATTTATGGTAAAGATTTTTGTTTAAAACCTAACAAAGTTTTTTAATTTAAAACCTATATTGTTTGATTAAGTACAATGCCTATACTTCAAATAACATTGATACTAATATTAAATAAGATTTATTTTATTTTAATATGAAAATCAAAAACTAATTCAACAGCTACTGGTTTTTATTTAAACATGTTAATCAAAACTTAAATGGCTGTTTTTTTATCATTTTCCTTATTATGTTATTAATTACTTTCTAAAAGAATGCATTTGATACATATACATTGCTAACAATTTTGAACGAACTATTAATAACTTAACCATACTAAACAGTTGTGTGGTTGAAATTAATTAAAAATATGATAATAATTTAAGTACACTCATAAATTAAGTACATTTTAACATCAAAAGTTATCGATTAATTTTAAGTTTGGTGATAAAAAATAATAATGCTTAGACTGATGATTAAATGTAATTTGATTGTAATTTATTTAAAATATACATGTATAAAATATAAAACTAAAAATAATGTTGTTGAATATTTTTCTATCGACATGTTTGACAGTTTTAGTCTAACTCTTAGACAATTTAACAAACTTTACAATTTGTCTATAAATATAAGTTTATTGACAGTACACATTATAATTTATAACTGACTGCTTGTGCTTTTTTTTTTTGATAAATTACAATTTACTATGGCTTAAACAGAATATATCTTTGACGCCCAATAAAAACCCCAATGAAGTGATGTCAAAATCATGAGATTACTCATATAGGTAATTACTAATTAATAATAACTAATATTGGTTACATAATTGTCTACACATATTATAGCTGATTTACTTTGAGAAAATTATTTTTTTTTATTATTATTTGTTATTGTTTTCTGGTCAGACTAAGATCTAATGTATAATACGTTTTGATTACATGAAACATTGATTTAAAAACTTTGTTGCATTTAATTAATCTGCGATAATTGATTGTAGGACGAGTTATGGATAATATGTATTGACACAATATTGTGATGAAATATCCACTCCCAAAAATGTTCTGAATCCTTAAGAGTTGAGAATATTTTAAAACTTGATTTTGACGGTCGTATTTAAAGTTTGAGGTTAGTAATCATTATTAATTTATTCTTATTTCAAACACATACTATTCAATGTTAACTATGATGTTTCACGGAACTACAAAATCTTAAAAATTATTTTTTAACAACAATGATGTTCCTTATTGTAATAATCCTAACTTCGGGGCTCCTAAATATCAAATTCTGAAAAGGATTATTTTATTAGGTATATTTTGATGAGAGCCATAACATATCAAATTTTCGTGTCAACCAGATATATTTGTAAAGGATTTTTGTCCTCTTTAACATGAGGACATTAGGGCCAGCGGTCTTAAGAGCATTTCCGGGTACTGTTTATTTTTTCTCCCTGGCCCACCCTAAACATGGATAAAATGCTTTCATGCCAATTCATTTTGGATTCTGAGCGGTTTCCTTATTTTGTTGTAATTCAAAAACGAATAGTCGACGTAGTAGATGTTTGAAATTTTTTCTAAAAGTTGATACTTGATAGTATAATCTATACATGGGATTATTTCAACTTGACTATATAGACATTTGACATGTTCGATTTTTTTTATAAATTTCGATGAAAGAATTTTCACTCAGTCAAATAGTTAAACACCATTATAGTTATAAAATTGAATTCAAGGTTCCTCATAAGATTTTATTACAGCCATTTAAAAATATTGAAGATACCTATGTATTTATGTAAGCTTTCTAAGCATATTTTTTTTTTGATAATCATTAGAAGTTTCTACAAAAATAGTCAACATCACAAACATTTGTAAAATTATATTGTAGTTTAAAATTGATAGTGTTCAATTGTTATAGTTGAGGCTGAAAATGTAATTCGAGGTTAAGTCATATGTAGTGTATTTGTTTATAAACATAAGTCAATATAAGGCCAAAACAGTTAACATTCAAACGAAATACAGTAATACAATAATAGGTAACTACTCAATGATGAGTTACACTTGACTCCTGTTGTACAGCATGCAGATCGGTTAAATTACTTCCCTCTTTTTTTTACTAAAGGCCGGTTTACACTTATCAAAAACTTATCAAAGTAGCCACGTTCGTGAACCACGGATCAGTGTAATTTTGATTTGAGCACTGACGTCAGTGTTTACACTGTCAAATTTAAAGTTACTGAAATTTTAGCAAAAAAAAATTATAAATTTATTTTACTTTATTTATGTGAAGTGTGTTAATATATGTTTTAAAATGTTGAATTATCGAGCATTGCAGGCTCATGTGTAGGGGGTGTGGGGGACGAAGCTCCCCACGGCTCTTTGGTACATTCACATATTTAGCACCCCCTGTTTTAGAGGTCTAGTTGCGCCTATGCGTACACCTAAGGTCCACCACTTTGTGAAAACTTGCTTAGTATCTACTCTGTGTTATCCACTAATCCACTTACCCATTATTCCATTTGTATTGTGTACCTACTTACCCAGTGGCGGCGGGATATAATACTATTTAAAGCAATTGCTTCATAGCTTCATTATAGTAAATACCTAATCATTTTGATGTAATAAAGGGGATGATGGGTCGTTGGTGGTAAAAATATTAAAAATGTACAATTTGCTCCAAAGACTCAAAAAGTTCGCGCCGCCACTGTACTTACCTATATCTGTGCACAAGGTTAGGTTAGATTCCTATACTGAATTTAGTATAATATATAAATATAGGTAAACGTCAGAAAGACTGTCAAAAACAAATCTAACAACATTATTTCAAAAATATTTACATAATACTTGGTGATTTTTTTTTAATCAACTGAAAAAAGTTACCTAAGTTATGATCACAGTCAATTTAACTAGTTAAGTCCTTAGGTTAATTAGAAAATTAATTAACTATAAAGTTTAAAAAACTATCTTTCAAACGTATTAATATAAAGCAAACCAGTGCCGTAGCTCGTGCAGTGTGGATAATGGAATGCACCTTTCCCCAAAATTAAAGGAAAATTTAAAAATGTTTTCAGTATGCACTACTATGTTGTTATATTATGATGAGTATTACGTATTTTCTTTATTTATAGAAATTTAAAAAAAAATCTAATTCATCCAAAGAGTAGATTTATAAATAAAAAAATATAAAAATAAATATATAAATATTGATCTATATATATATGACTATAAAATATGGTATTATTATATACATACATTTTATTTTGAACTTAAAATTGTGATGTACTTTTTTTATATAATATATGCCATTGCTACTATATATTTTAACATTTCAAATAATTATGTACTGTTTATATTATGTTCTTTTAGTTCTTTTAGTTAGGTTAAGGTGAACCTACTATAATTATGTATTTATAATTTTAAAGACAAAAGCAATTAAAATATTATTAATCTTACTAAACATATTATTATACACATTTTATAATGAACTTAATAAATAT